ACACCACGATGATTAATGGTTTGGGCGTATTGGGCTGGGGCGTAGGCGGTAAGTACTCATCTTTCAATAATTGACTTACGAAACGCTGCAAATAATTCATTCGCCACTTTTTAAGGTATTGAAGCTGAAGCTGTAATGTTGGGTCAAGCGATATCGATGTTGTTACCCGAAGTAATTGGTTACAAATTGGTGGGGAAGTTAGGACCTTTGGCTACTTCCACTGATTTAGTGTTAACTGTAACCAAGCATTTACGGCAGCTGGGTGTTGTCGGTAAATTTGTTGAATTTTATGGTCCAGGAGTAGCAGAACTGAGTATAGCAGACCGTGCTACAATTAGTAATATGTGCCCTGAATATGGCGCAACTGTGGGCTATTTCCCTATCGATGAGAACACTTTAACTTATATGAAACAAACGAGTAAGAAAAAACATATATATATATACATATCCTGACTGTAATATTTTTAACTAAAATCCAGATCGTTCCGAAAAGAAAATCGACATTATTAGGCAATATTTGTTAGCTACACGTCAAATGCGCAATTATGCTGACGAATCGCAAGATCCACGGTTTACCGAAACTATTACTTTGGATCTGTCCACAGTAGTTACATCGGTATCGGGACCAAAACGCCCGCATGATCGTGTTTCTGTAAAGGATATGAAAGCAGACTTTGCCGTTTGTTTAACAAATCCTGTAAGTTTTAATTATTTTCAGATATTTGTTATATTCACAAGCGTTGACGTTGTTTACTTCTCATTATTATGTGATAAACAAAGCCCAGTGATGGTATTTTAAATTGTTATAAATTTCTTTTTCATTTTTTTTTTTTTTTTTAATATATCTCACTTTTCTACACATACTGAACTTCGTATATCACATATATTGAAATTTTAATTATACGCAAATCATTTTACTTATTTTCTTTTTAATGATGTTTTTAAAAGAACGAGTTATCTAAAAGAAACAGCAACTGTGATGGTGTATGTTATTAAATAAAATCACGGCTACTATTTCCTTAGATAACTCGATATAATTTTTTTTTTATTTTACTATTTTTCAAGGTATAAAATAATTTTATTTCAGATCCTTTTAGATTAAAAACATAGTTATCCGCGTTTAACAAACTTTTAACGTATTAGCTCTACTTGACTAAACTTTCCTCCAATGAGTTTATTAGTGTTGTATTCTTATAAAGTTCAACACCTTCAGTAAATTTGATAATTGCCTCGTATTAGGTTTTTTATTTTTTTTAGATTCAATATTAATTTCTGCCAAGTCAAGCATCGAATTACTTTTTTTTTTTTCCTTTCGATAAAAATAGT